TAAAATAGTTTTGTGGCCAAAAACCAAGACATCAACGTCACCATCGATTTCTGTATTGCCGTGTACAGTCTGTGGCATATTAAGTTGACGTTTATGATGATGACGATGATGGCTCTAAGCTACAGAAAAAAATTTACAACAAAACAGCATTTAACCAAGAATTGTCAACGAACGTGGCAATAAAGGTGGAAGTAGCCACCGGCAGAGGCAAATACCTTTAATGAATTTCTAAATAGTAACGTAGGCACGTACGTACACTTATTGGCCTGGATGGCTGGCCCGGTGGACAACGACGACCAGGCCAGCTGCCAGTTCCGCTATGGTCCTTTTGCAGTGCACGTTGACTTCCATACTTACCTCGCCTACATTCGACAATCGAATATTAATTACCATAACTCTCGAGCATAACTGTAATAATAATCACATTTGCAGATCGTCAATGGATTTGATTATGCTATGCTAAATATTCACACACACACGCACACACTCACATAATCATACAAACATCCTGAAGATGATTTCAACAAAGAGACAATCTGCTTATCAACAACCATTCTCTGCCTCAATCCATCATCAGCAGTGACAATGTCAAGAGACAATTCCCTGTTCGCCTTCCTCGTTGAGTGCCCAATTGACGGCTGCAGCGTTCATCCCTGTGTGTCATATCCTTCTTTAAATTGTTTAAATCCCTGTAAACATCTTTTTTGTTTTTGGACACTAATCCATCACTTAATTGAAAGATGAGTGGGCATGCTCAAGGTCCTGTCAATTTGCAAAAACGGAGTGAGAAATGTCATTCCGTGGGAGTTTTTGTTTTTCGAATTTTGCATAAATTCAAGGGGTCAGTTAAATGTTGGTAGATCAATGAGAAGTAGGGGATATTCCGGGTTTTTAATTAAAAGGATATTGAGTCAAAAATCTTCAAATTATTTAGATGGTCTGATAAAGAAATCCATATCACCCACATAAACCAGACCCCTTTTTTATAATTTCTATGAAAATTCACATCATCTATAAGGCTCCATTCATCTCGTGTATAAAGGCTGACTTTCGTTCGTATATAAAGAATCCCTCCAGACCATTTATAAATATTCACTCCATGTCGTCTACCCACTTCTCTTGACATGAAAGGCCCATATCGGCAATGAATGTCCATTCAGATCCCTTTTATTAAGACTTCTTCCATCTCGTATATAAAGGTCTGCTCAGCTTGTCAAAAACACTTCCTCTCGCTCTATAAAAGTTGACCAGCTCGGCAACAAAGAATCCCTCCCATTCCATAATGAATCCATTCCGGTCGTACACCTACATACCTTCAGCGCATTTATAAGGACTTATTTCTTCTGTTCATATATAAAAACTCAATTTTTCAGCTCCTATACAAATAATTCCTTTTAGCTCATCTAAAAAGTCTGCCTTCAGCTCGTTTTTAGGACTCCCTTCATCTCGCCTATAAAGACTCAAATCAGCTCGTCTATAGAGTCTCCCTTCAGCTCCTCTATTAAGACTCCTTTCAGCTCGTCTATAAATACTCCTTCAGACACCTATCAGGTCATCTATAGAGACTCCCTTCACTTCTTCTATAAAGACTCCCTCCAGATCCCCTTCAACACATATATAAAGACCCCCTTCAGATCACATATAGATAACCCATTAGGCCGTCTACAGAATCTCCTTTCATGTCATCTACTGAGAATCCTTGCAGGTCGACTGCCGTCAGGTCGTCAATAGAGACTCCCTTCAGATCTTCTACAGAGATTCTCTTCAGACCATCTATAGAGACTCCCTTTAGGCCACCTATAAAAACTAGCTTCAGGTCGACTATCGAGACTTCATCCAGTCCGTCTATAGAGACCGCCTTCAGCCAGTTTATAGAGACTCCCTTCAGCCCGTCGCCAAAAACTTCATTCAACTCGTCTATAAAGACTGCCTTCTGTCTGTCTATTAAGACCCCTTTCAGATAGAGAAACTTCCTCCAGTTCGTCTATAAAGACTCCAATCAGCTCGTCTATAGAGACTCTCTTCAACTCGTATGTAGAGACTCCTTAAGCTCGTCTTTAGGGATGTCCTTCAGTTCGTATATGAAATACTCCCCTCCGCTCGTCTATAGAGACTACCTTCAACCAGTCTATAGAGACCCCCTTCAGTCCGTCGCCAAAAAGCTTCCCTTCAGCTCGTCTATGAAAGACTCCCTTCAGCTTGAGAAAAGACTACATTCAGCTCGTCTATAAAGATCACCTCCAGTTTGTCTATAAAAACTCCCCTCAGTTTGGTTATAAAGACCCCCTTCAGTTCGTCTATAAAGACTCCCTTCAGCTCGGCTATAAAGACTCCCTCCAGCTCGGCTATAAAGACTCCCTCCAGCTCGGCTATAAAGACTCCCTTCAGCTCATCTATGAAAGACTTCATTCAGCTCGTCTCTAAAAGACTTTCTTCAGTTCGTTTATAAAGCTCCTCACCTATAAGGTCTGGATTATTCCGAAGACTTTCTTCGAGACCCTCTTCGTCTTTCCTACACAGATTCTCATCATCCTTTCAGTAATTTTATAATTAGCACATAATAGACAAAGTTATGGTCAGAAAATTCTCACGCTAAAAAACGGACATCCTTTCCTGACTTATGGCTCTCATATCCTTATGGTCTGGTCAACCTTTAATTCGTTCGAAAACGTGTTAAATTCATGTAATCTTCCATTTCGAAGGTGATAAGTGTGATTACGACCATTTACGTAACTCTCAACATATTAAGGGTGTATATTAAAGCATTTTGTTTGCTGATCCTTAAATCATCAACAGATCGCGACTAAACGAAGTCTTCCCCAGTGAACAGTGAAACAACAACAACTTACAAATTACCCATATTAAGCGCCTTTTAATGGTGCCATAAAAAAACCAGAAAAAAATTAAACCAAATTCTTGTTCTTCTATATGGTCATCATCATTTGGCAGGCCAGAATTGTGGAATGGACAGTGTCAATTAATGACCCACAAGAAAAGGCAAATATATCTAGACAATCAACCACTCGACCAGAAGCTTGCCAGCTCACGCGTATAACAAGAAGTGAAGTTCGGTTTCGTTTTAAGGGTGAGTGAAGTGTTAACAGTTTTGTTCCCAAAACCAATTGGTTATAATTCAGTGAATTGTTGTTGTTATTGTCTGAGGAATTCCCAAAATACAAAACTTTGCCAGGGTTAGCCAGCCAGCCATTCATGGTTGGTTATCTTCTTAAGGAGTGTATGTACCTTTTAACTGGCTGCCTTAAATTGTGTTATGTTTCTGGTGTTGTTGTTGTTTTTATTCGGCCTTTCATTCACAGCTATTAGAGGGTATTTAGGTTTCCTTTTTTATGCTTATTTAACAATAACATATTTCCTTTCTTATTGGCATCGAACACGCAAAGCCTGATCACGTGGGAAATGTAGAGTAATTAATTTATCTTTAAGTTGTGGTTCTTCGTGGCGGTGGGGGTAGAGGTGAAGGAGGTGTATGGCTTTAACACCTTTTGCGCCTTGGCCTGGTATGGGTGTGTGTGGGAAGATTTGAAGTTTGTTTTTGCAGTTGAATGCCATGCCATTCTGAAAGGTTAGTTACGCTTTATCCCAACGTGTTTTGGCTTTAGAATTTATGATGCAATTTCAATTCTTCCTGGGAAAAAAGTGAATATATGGCGGGGTAGACAATGTAGGAGCCTACACTATTAAGAAGAAAGTCGTTGCAATCTTTGGGAGTAGAATGCTCTATTCGACTTCTACATTGAATTTATTTTTAGAGGTTCCCTGCTTCAATTTGCTCAAAAATATTATTTTTTAAGTCGCTAATAAAAAAAAAAAACTGAGAATGAGGTCGTCTGTAGAGACTAGTCTTTAGATAATACTTCCCTTCTTTTCGACTGTAGGTACACAGCTCATCTCTTCTATAATTCAGGTCGTATATAGAGTCCCCCATCAGGTCGTCTATAGAGCTTCAGGTCGTCTAAAGAGAAATCCCTGCATATCGCCTATAGAGACTTCATTAGGTCGTCTGCAGAGACTACCTTCAGATCATCTACATAGACACCCATCATATCGTTTATATCGAATCCCTGCAGCTCATCTATAGAAACTCTATTCAAGTCTTCTGAACAGTGTTTATTAGGTCGGCTACAGAGACTACCTTCATATCGTCTACAGATACTCCTTTCAGATCGTCTATATATTTATATAGACTCCCTTCAGCTCGTCCATAGAGACTGCCTTCAGCTGTCTATAGAGACTCCCTTCAGTTCGTTTATAAAGATTCCATTTAGGTCTTCTATAAATACTCCCTTCAGTTCGTCTTTAAGAACTCCATTCAGTTCGTCTGTAAAGGCTTTTCTATAGGGAACTCATTACTGCGTCTAGAATGTCTCCCATCAGGTTGTCTACAGAGAATTCATGCAGCTCGACTCTCTTCAGGTCGCCAATAGAGGCTCCATTCAGGTCTTCTATAGAGAATCCATTAGGTCGTCTAAGTAGACTTCCTTGAGATCGTTTACAGACTTTCAGATTGTCTTTATCGACTGCCTTCAGGTCGTTTTAAGTTTGACTATAGAGAATTCCTGCATTATTTTTAGACACCCTTCAGATCATTTATGTCTGACAAACAAATTTTCCACATATCCATGGTGTAGGGTGTAAAAAGGCAAAAGAACAGTATTGGGATAAGAAGCAATGTGGGAGTTGCATTAGAGGGAATCAAGGAATGCCATTGCTTGCTTAACAATAGGCTCATTTATAAGGCACATCAAGATGTCTAGATGTCAGGGCGAAATTCATTAATATTGCATTTTAATATGCATTCCTTACTGACGCTTGACCATAACATTGATGTTGTTTCCAAAAAGGCGACCGGGTATAAAAGCTCCTCCAAGACTTGGCCACAAAATCAGTTGCATTTTTAACACCGTCGATAATGTTCAAGCGCGCGTCGTTCGTGGTTGTTCTTCTTTTCCTTTCGATAATTTTGTGTGTAAATGCCATAGAAGATCATGATGAAGAAGATGATGATGATTCTTCGCCAAAGGGCAATGACAAAGAACTTTCCGATATGGTAATCACCACAGCACTGGGGAAAATACGTGGAACCCTATTGACATCACAAAGAGGACGGAATTTCTATGCTTTTCGTGGTATACGCTATGCTAAGCCACCGGTGGGTGAGTTGCGCTTCAAACCTCCCGAGCCAGTGGATCAATGGTTTGATATATTCGATGCCACCTTTGATGGTCCCATGTGTCCTCAACCTGGCCTCAGTAGTAAAGATGTCTCCGAGGATTGTCTACGTTTAAATATCTACACAAGAGAATTGCCTTCAGAGAAAAATCCGAATATTAAGAAACCTGTTATTGTCTTCATACATCCTGGTGGATTTTATTCCCTCTCGGGACAGAGTAAAAATTTCGCCGGTCCTCAATATTTTATGGATCGTAGTGTTGTGTTGGTGACATTTAATTATCGTTTGGGGTCGTTGGGTTTTTTGAGTACCGGGACGAAGGAAGCCCCTGGCAATTTGGGTTTGAAGGATCAGGTTGCCCTATTGCGTTGGGTCAAGTTGCTTATTGCAAGATTTGGTGGTGATCCGAATTCTATAACATTACTGGGATATGGTGCCGGAGCTATGAGTGTAACTCTCCACATGGTTTCGCCAATGTCGAAGAATTTGTTCCACAAAGCGATTATTATGAGTGGTTCGGCAACGGGCCAATGGGAATTACCCGAGGAACAGTTGTATGTGGCTCAACGCCAGGCGTTACTGCTAAAGTGTCCACTACAGAATATTACGGAAATGATGGATTGCCTAAAGAGGGTAAGTGAGTACGCTTTTTGGAAAATGCTCTGTTTAAAATTTAATATGTTCCTCATATAGAAACACTATTTGGAGTATGCCAACACCTTGAGAAATATGTTCGAATTTGGCCGCCAGAATCCTTTAATTTTATGGAAACCCGTTGTGGAACGTGATTTTGGCCAAGAACGTTTTCTCACAGAGGATCCGGTGCGTTCCTATCAAAATGGTGATTACATGAAAATACCGATCATCACTGGCATGACCAAGGATGAATTTGTCGGACCTGCTTTGTGTAAGTGGAAACTCCTTCAGTATTTCCGATTTTAGTAAAAAAATGTCCTTACAGATCCTCCCGTCTATAAGGATTACCTTTCCACTCATTATGTTCTAGATTTCTATCAGTCCATCGGTCTACAAAACTCCCTTTAGCTTCAGCTGGTCTACAAAAACTCCCTTTAGTTCTTCCATAGTCTATAGAGCCTCCCTTCCGCTCTATAGGGACTCCCTTCACCTAGTTTACAACAGACAATTCAGCAGGTATATGAAGAATTCCTGCCTTCCGATCATCTAGAGATATTTGCTGCCCTCAAATTGCCTTTAGAGATTCCCTGCCTTCAATTCTTATACAAAGGTTCTGGCTTCTATTCGTTTGAAGAATATATCTCATCTACAGAGATTCCTTGTGTTCAGCTCTAATATAGAGACTTTCTCGTTTGAAAATAATCCCCAACTTTTATCTTCAGGTTCTTGCGCCTAAAAATCGCCCTTCATCTCCCTCTTTTGTGATTATGACCCTAAGTTCATTCCATCTCTTATGAAGAGATCCCTTTATATTTTAATATTTTCTTTCATTCGAATAATTTTTTAGCCCTCTTGGAGAATGACCGCTGGCTAAACTACTTCGTGGAGAATTTTGAACTGGTTGCCCCCATCTGCTTTATGTACAATCAAAGTAATCCCAGAGCTTCGAGTATATCACGAGAATTGTGGAACTACTATTTTGGTGATAATATAACTTTGAGTTTACCTGACTCCTTGGAGAATTTGACTCAACTGTATTCGGATGCCTTGACTGGATTTTCCGTACATCGTTTTGTCCACTTGGCTGCCAGATCGACAAAGGTCTATTATTACAAATTTAGTTATCAGGGCCAGCGAAGTCACATATATTATCCGGAAAATGGGCCATATGGTAAGATAGGGTATATAATTTTTTTGGAATAGGAATTATAGGAAATATTTTTTAGGTGTGGTTCATCATGACGATTTGATGTATTTATTTGTGGAACCCTCGGTAAGCCGTATGTTCAACGAAGATGATGACGAGTCGGGTATGGTGAATATATTTACCCGGATGCTGAGTGCTTTTGCCTATAAGGGGTAAGGATTGAAATAAAAATAAAATTTTAAATCTTTATTATTTTAAATTTTTCTATTAGAGATCCCAATAAGCCTAGTGACAAATATTTACGGGACATCCGCTGGCGTCCATTCAGCTATAAAAAACAATACTATTTGGATATTGGTGACGAGTTAGTTATGCGTGGTGGCCTGAATACCCAACGTTATGAATTGTGGAAACGTTTGTTTCCTTTGAACTGGAGACGCCAAAGCAAACATGGAGTCAATGATGTCGACTATGAGTGAAGGGGGAAAATGATAAATTTTACTTATAAGAAACTCAAGAAAATTCAATAAAATAATGATTGAATATCCGATAAACCTTTCGTATTCAATATTCTCCAAATAATTTTCTCCAAATTTCATAAATATTACGAGGGCAGTTCGGAAAGTTCTTAGCCTAGCACAAAAAGCCCGGTATAAACAGAAAAAAATTAAGTGTTTTGGAAACTTCCATCTCTGTTACGAGCATATGTTAAATTTTGTTTCGATCTGGCAACTCCTTCATATAGAAACAGGTGTTCAAAAAAGATGCATCCGCAATTTTTTACAATGAAAGCACTCATTGCTAATTTTCCCATTGTAAAAAATTGCGGATGCGTCTTTTTTAAACACCTGTTTCTATATGAAGGAGTTGCCAGAACGAAACAAAATTTAACATGTGTTCATAACAGAGATGGAAGTTTCCAAAACACTTAACTTTTTCTGTCGCGCTTTTTTTGCCGAACTGCCCTCGTAGATAGGTCAACTTTGGAATATGACATCCTGATCGGGCTTCAATATACGATATTTTGAAATATTTTAATTTAAATTTCAAAACACTCTTCTTCAATTTCCAAATATTCACACACAATCCTTTTTACACGATACCACAAGCCCTGGCGAATGACTTACGCCAAAGAGTAATCAATTGAGTTGTTGTAACATTGTCTCAACGATCATCTCTGTTGACATTTGCAATGACACCAAGAGCTATACAACTTGCAATTCAATTGTTCGGAAAATAAACAACAACAATAACAACCGAAAAAATTAAAAGAAACCACGACTCAATGGTGAATGAAGTAAAAAATAAAAATCTTCGTCAAAATCCAACGAGAGAACCTCAAACACATGCCATACTGCAACAGCAGAACAAGATGTCTGATAGTCGTCAGATGTATAGACTTAAAACGACCACCGAATATCTTATTTCTCAATAAAAACAAAAGAGCAATTTGGATACTCCCCGCTCCTTTCCTATATTGCCCTCTTGGTTGCATGGGACCCATGCAGCAGAAATTCAATCATAGCCTTCCGCATGTCACAAGTGTATCAAGATTGAAGTCCATTATGCTGCAGAAAGAAAAGGCGAACAGTTTTGTGGCAAACTTTGCCAGACCGTATGGAGTCAGTTTTTCCAAAGTTTTTTGTTTTATTTTGGATTTTTTTCTTCTTCTGAACCATTTGACAAGCTCTTCTCTTTCTTCAATTTCCTTCTGCTTTCAAATATCCCACAAACAAATTGAATTTATTGGATTTTAGTTTGTTGTAGCTTCTTCAAATGTGAGGTGTTGCTGTTGTTGTTTTCGTTGTAGTTTCGGTTGTTTCTCTTGTTCGCCTATTGAGGCAATTGATTTGAAGAACATCGAAGACAATGTCTCTACGACTACGATGACCAGTGTTTACAGTACAAATGTTCATCTGAATTGGTGATTTCAATCGCACAATAACAACAAAAACAAAAAACCATCGCGCACCAGGAACAGCGTGAAATTTTCAGTTTTAAGCACGACTCTCAAATAAATTTTGTGAAAAATGCCAAACACGTTGCCCAATATCAAAAATGCAAAAAAGTCAACACCACAACAGTTCACAACTTCATTTTTTTTGTTTTGGATCTATCGCTGATTTTTACTTGGTTGGATGCTGTAACTCTCTCAGTGCACTGTGAGCTGTTGAATAGACAAACGGAAAAACACAGCAACAACTCTATTTAATATCATTGTTACGTTACTGCGTTAGTTATTGTTGCTGTTGTTGTTCTTGTTTGACTTAGTCCAAACCCATGATGACCCAATAGGTGCCACATGTCAATTTGCCACATATATTCCCTGGTTGGTTTGCGCACATGTGAACTTATACGCATACATTTAGTGTATTGTATTTAGTATTGGGGTGTCCTGGGAGAATGTTTTTTTTATGAAATGTCGCACCAACCAAAGTAATCGCAGAGCTTCGAGTATATCATGACAATTGTGGAACTACTTTGTTGGTGACAACATAACTATAAGTTTACCTGACTCCTTGGAATACCTAATCCCATTATAGTCTTACTTATTTAGCTGGCTCGAAACAGAACATTTGCTCCATAAACCGAACTTAAAAAATATCCAGGTTCGTCGATCTTGTGCACAATTTTTCCAATTTGATATACCATGCTCTGATGTACCATCATCCATTTGATCTTTCCATCGAATTCGTGTACTTCCCCTTCTTCGTGAACCATCCATCCGTAGGCTAGTTTTGATATGCCTTTGAGTTGGCACATCGTCATCCATTTGCACAGCACCATAGTCGCTACAGCTCAATACGACAGACTGTGTATTTCCGAGAATATATGCTATAACTCATGGTCCATTTGACGCCGATATTCACCGTCAACGCAGATCTTTCGAAGAATTCAAACTCTCGAAGAAGAATTCAAACTCTCCAAGAACTGTATCATCCGCTTGCGCAAGAAGATTTCCACTCTGCGCCAAATACTGGTAAAGACCCAAAACAAAAAAAAAAAAAAAAACACATCGACATGTTTACCTATTCCTTGACTATAAAGTCGCATTCGACAGTCCTATTCCTTCAGAGGTGTTTACAGTCATGTCTGCGTTCGGCATTCCTGCGGCTATGCAGGATAACTTAAAGTGGCACAAGGTCAGCAGTTAAAGTCGGAAAGGACCTATCGGAGCTCTTCAATACCGTGCGAGGATTCAGATAAGGTGGCAGTCACTCCTGTGACCTTTATAACATTCAGCTGGAAAATACGAGAGGCAAATGTGAAAACACAAATGACACTCTGTAAAGAATTTTTCTCTCAAACTCTCCAAGAACTGTATCATCTGCTTGCGCAAGTACCAATGCTTCTGATCCATACACAAACACGAGTAGTAACAGCGTCTTGTATAGTGTAAGTTTGGTCTGGCGAGAGGTGGCCTTGTTTCTTAACTGCTTACTTAGACCATATTTGCAACTGTTGGCCAACCTTATTCTTCTCCGAATTTCAATACTGATGTCCTTAATTTTATTTATGGCGGTACCGAGGTATATAGAATATTTTCAAGTTCCACATTTGGTCCGAGTCTACTGGACGTCTTGTGCGTTGATGTCATCTGTTTGGCCTTCTCGCCATTTACTGCCGGACCCACTCTGACACGCTCTATTTCATTGGTCAATGGTGGATGTTATAGTTCGCAATGTTCGACCCATTATGTCGATGTTATCGACATAGATGAGTAACATATGCAGTTTGGTTTACAGAGTGTCATTTGTGTTCACATTTGCCTCTCGTCTTTTCCAGCAGTATGTTATAAAGGACAACGAGTGGCTCCCACCTTATCTGAATCCTCGCTCCGATAGGTCCTTTCCGACTTTAAATGCTGACCTTGTGCCACTTAAAGTTATCATGCATAGCCGTATTAATTTTGCAGGAATGCCGAACGCAGATATGTCTTTAAACACCTCTGAACAAATAGGGATGTCAAATGCGGCTTTATAGTCGACGAATAGGTGGAATGTGTTGATGTGGTTTTCGTGGATCTTTTCCAGGATTTGGCGGAGTGTGGAAATCTGGCATATGGTTGATTTGCCGCATTGGTATGTTCCAATTATGTCATTGATCATTGGCTTCAATCGTTTACGTAGTACGGTGGATAGCACTTTATATGCGATATGTGCCTCTATAGTTGGTACATGTCGCCTAGTCTCCTTTTTTGTGCACGAAACATAGCATGCTGAGGTTCTAATCATTGGACATGCATCCCTCTAGACAAATTATTCCAATCAGCTCCTGAGCAGCATCTGACAAATGGTCTTGAATAGTTCGTCTGGTAACACAACGGCACCTGCTGCTTTATTATTCTTCAGCCGATGGAGCTAGAATCTGCACTTTGGAAATTATTTTGAAAATAAAAAGAGCCGTATATCTTCCATCGGGATGGTCAAGAAACTCATTTAGCTGAAGCTTAAATTTGTAGTTCATGATGAAATATTTGAAAATGTGGGGATACTAAATCTTAAAAATTATCAATAAGCGGATATTGTATTTAGCATTTATATCAAAATAATTTGGAAAATGCATATGCGAATTTTGTAACACTAATACAGTCAAACGGGTGCAAAATTAACAACCAACAAGAGAAGGGAGATCGATACCAAACACACAACCCAACAATGAGTGGTGTTGTTGATGTTTTTTCTTGGGAGGAATACATTTGTTTTTTTTTCAAGAGAGAGGGAGAGAGGAACGAATGAGCGCAAAAGTAGAGCAAAATAGGAAAATAATTTTGTTACTAATGAAATGTTTACATTTTTAATGATTATAAAAATTTCAGCCTGTATTCTAAGCGTGGTACGTGGTAGGAAAAAGTAAACAATGATCGAACTTATGGAGATATTTATTCATTTTTCCTGTGTATGTATTTTGGAGACTTGAATCGACACTGGGCTATTGTGATCAACTCTTCGAAATGGTCTGGAAATTTTTTTCCGTGGAATAACTATCTTGTGGAAATTAAACGTCAATAACATCCAAATCCGACCACAATAAATAATCATTAATCATCTTCCAATATCTCAATCCATTCACCATAACCTCGTTTTCGAAGATTTAAGGACTAATGCAAAAATTGGGTTTGTTTATGTAGGCACAGAGGTTTCGATGAAATTACGCATTTTCGATGGAATCAATTTCATTCCTTTCAAGGGTCCAATTATTAAAGACTCAGCGTTGTTGGTAGTCGTGCTGAGAGAGTTTTTTTTTTTTTTAACTGAACAGAATTTGGTCGACCTGTATACCAAGGGTATAAATTATATTTATTGTTTATCAGACCAATCTGAGGCCCATCCTAATATTCAATAGGCGGATATTCGATATAAAAAAAAATTGTTGCTTTTGTTGTCTTTTTTGGTGCCCCAAACTATTGCCACTTTTGATAGAAGTTTTCTTGGGAAATCAATGAAATGGGAAATTCATTGGAAAATTGAGCCATCAAA